TTTTTTTTTTTAGATCATGAATCTAAATAGGTCAAACAAAGTTTCAAACTGTTTGTTTGTTTGTTTTTTATTTATTTATTTATTTATTTATTTTTTTTTATTTTTTAGAAGAACAAACCAACGCAGATTGCCTTTTTTAATTCCCACACTAGCTTCATGGATATCATGTTTTTTCTACAGTCACAACCCATGTAATATCAGGAGGTTGTAAGTCATAGATGGTTGAGCCCACGTGGCCCAAATGGTTTTGGGATGCTTAATCAGCTAGGTATTTTCCTTCTCCATTGTAGTGGGTAGCCAAACTATCCCAGATTCTTGTCATCAATATATTTTAAAGGCCTCAATTTAATATATGTTCAAAGGCCCCAATTAAGAAAGCATGGGTTCTGTTGATTTGTTCGGTTTCTTGAAGAGGACAGTATCCTCTTCTTCTTCATCAGCTTAATCTATAAGAAATTATTAGCAGCAATTTCCTTTTATATTTTCTAGGGAATGCAGGGAGGTGGCAAAAATTAGAGAAAAGACAACTGAAAAAAATAGGGGTGACGAATTAAAAATAGCAGTATATATATATATATATATTGTAAACCTGAATTTTACTGTAGCATAGACTTTAGATGGGTTCCATTACAACCCATGCGCTGTGATGTGCTTAGTTGCACCTGCAATAATTGGTGTTTTTTTTTTTTTTTTTAAAAAAAAAATTGAATTTTTTAAGCCTGCTACCTTTTATTTTATATTGTATTAGTAGCAGCCCTTTGTACAATTGGCCAATTTTTTAAATAAAAGTCAAATCAACCTTGCCCCTCGTGATTCGTGCAAGTGAATTTTAATTGCATGAATCATGATGACTTTTTTCTTTTTTCTTTTCTCTTTTTTCTTTTTCTTTTTTTTTTTTCGGTTAACAATTATTTCATGTCTTTTTATCTCTTTTGCAGGCAACACGCAAGAAGTCAGAGTCTGTTTGCAGGTATCATTGCTCTTTCCAACCTAATGGCAATGAGTGGCTTAAATTCTTGGCAGTGATTGTGTCCTTTCACCCCAACGGCTTAAATCCTTGGCAGTGAATGTGTCCGTCACCCCAACGGCTTGAGTCCTTGGCAGTGAACGTGTCCGTCACCCCAACGGCTTGGGTCCTTCATCGCATTAGCGGGCTCCCCATTCGTGGTGAGTTTTATGAAGAGTTTACCCCATCCAATGACATTTTATATTCGTCCCAGACATCCAAGGCGTGCCGTGGGCTTTTCAACATTTATGCCAGCTCTGTTCAATCCAAGAAGTTTAACCACTGGACTTTTAAATTCATTGACGAATCCCCAACTTCGATCAGTGGGTTTCAACGAAAGGATAGAATTCCTGATGATGTGTATCTTTCCGGTTTTTTGGCGAGCTGGCTTAGCGGATTTGTTTTCCCTCACTCTTCTGGGGAAATTCGTCCGACGACCTTTCATGTAGCCACCAAAATGGCAGGTGGAACCTTATTTAGCCTGGCCATCCCCGTCCTTGCATACCTCTATCATTCTCTTGGTAAAATGGCATCATCATCTTCACCTGGGAAGGAAAATATTCAAGGTCCTTTACATTACTTTTTTGGATGGATTTCACTATATTTTGTCAAGACTTACTCTCATGGGGATCCTCAGTTGATTTGTCCAATTCCTGATATTCATTTCATGCCATATCTTGGGTTTATTGGAAACCAATCGGCAGCCCAGTTTTTTAATGATAAATTTCCATTTGTGGACTCTCTCCTAACTTATCGTACGGAGTGTCAGTTTAGGGCTCTTACCCATGAAAGTGAACCTTCAGGCATTCTGGTCGACTCTGAAAGGATATCATCTTTCCATCTTGGCTATCTTATATCTTTGAGGCAAGGGGTTTTAACTTTTAAAATGGGATTTAATTTCATTTCTGAACCGTACTCCCCTAACCGATTCGGTCCATTGCTCATGGCCATGATTGATGATATGGTGAGGAGACAAGTAAAGAAAGTCAAAGAAAAAGATGATGAGAACTTTCGAATAATTACAAAACCTTACCCAGCATGGGTAGATGCTGTTCCATTCCCTTCTGGTTTTTCCCAACCAGATTTCAAAATGTTTGATGGAACAGGAGATCCAAGACAACATGTGGCTCATTTTCTTTCAAGGTGCGGGCCAATAGCCCAGAATGAGGCCCTGTGTCTGCAGCTATTTGTTCAATCACTTGAAAGTTCTGGGTTTACTTGGTATGCTAACCTTCCTGAGGGATCAATCCTAAATTGGGATTCCATGGTGAAGGAGTTCCTTAAACAGTTCTGCAACACACAAAGACGAGTTGGAGTACCAGAACTGATTGAGACCAAGCAACGTGACAATGAGTCTGTTACAGATTTCATTGCAAGATGGCGAGCTTTGACATTTGCTTGTCCTCAAAAGTTTACAGAATTAGAGTTAATTCGGATGTGCCTTAACAACTTCCGACATGAGCTCTCTACGGCTCTTATGGCTCAAACTTTTGAAGGATTCAATGATCTATGCACTAAAGCTCATGATATGGAGCTGCATTTAGCTAAACGAAGGAGGTCTAGGGCCGTTGAAAGGGTTGAGTCCTCGACTGCAGCTACAATTGAAACCAGAAAGAAGGGTCTCGTTGTAGTAGGGGCTAAAAAGCCCAAAGAATTTAAAAATGTTACTATGAAAGAGAGGTTGGAGAAGAAGTATTCTTTCATGGATGATCTGGTCGAAGACCTATTTGAAGATCTGTTGGAGCAAAAGTTGATTGCTCTCCCTGAGGTGAAAAGACCACATGAGGTAGGAAAGACCAATGATCCAAAGTATTGCCCCTACCATCGTTTGATTAGCCATCCGATAAAAGAGTGTTTTGTTTTGAAAGATAAAATTCAGGAACTTTTGGACTCTAAAATTATCGAACTCCCTCCTCAAGAGAAAGCATCTGCTAACCCAATCACTATCGACAATGATAATGAAGGTGAATGGGTTGTTTATCAGTCAAAAAGCATGAAGAAAAAACAAAATGCCACAGTGAAAGTTAGAAGTGTGGCTGATTCAACAACACAAGGGCCAAAAGTTTCCAAAAAGAAAAAATCAAAAGTTTCTAGGAAACTAAAAAAAGCCAGAGTAAATAAGAGAAAAGGAAAAAAAAACCCAAAGAAGGAAAAGGGGGAGAAATTGGTCCCTGATGAGCAGTTAGAGCAAGATCCTCTTGTCCCAGTTACATTGGAGGAATTTCTACCTTCAAAATTTCAATCTGTGGAGTTGCAGACATACTTTGATAAAAGAAGGAAGGAAAAGTTTACTTTGGCCCCTTGCCTAACCATCATTGTTTTGAGTGATAGCGAGAAAGATGAGGGTGAAATTGGTTCAAAAGTTAGGGAAGGGGATTGCATTACATCTCCTATCTGTATACCTGACTCACCAGAGTATACACCAACTTCTCTAGAATACACACCGGCCTCTCCAGAATACACAGCCTCTCCAGAATATACACCAGCTTCTCCAGAGTATACACCAGAAGCCTTTTCTCCAGAGTATTCGCCAGTACCACCAATGTACTATCAAAGCACTCCAGAATATGTAAGGGGAATAGAACAAAGAGACACCGGGTGTAGGTCCGACTCTAAGCTTGTAAAAAAGGCAAAAAAACGACTACATTTCAAGGATGATGAGGTGAATGGCAGGTGTATGTCGGATGATGAAGTATGGAAGCATTCAAGTAAACAAGCAAAGTCATCTCAAGTTGAGGATCCTAATGAAGATTGGGAACTTAACTTTTCCCCTGATGATTCACCACACACATCCCCAGCTAGGACATACGATGGAGAAAGTGTATCAAGTGACCACTTTGACTTTCCACGACGTTATTCAAGATGCTCAAATGACACGTGGAGCCTACGAAAAAATGACACCTGTAGAGCCTACAGCAAAGACATCACACAGGATGAAACCCCAAAGATCAATTCGGTTAATCAGATATACGATTAATCAGATAGCGCTATTATTCAAAATTTAAATAGCGTTATCATTCAATTTGAAATTCAAATATCATTCAATTTGAAATTCAAAATGAAGATGAAGCGTTCCTATCACCTGATGGCCCTCCATAAATATGAGGACCATCACACAAGACCGGGGGATTGGAAGATCAGAAGTGAAAAAGATCAGAGAGAGAGAGAAAGAAGTTGAGAGCTAAACAAATCGTTACAAGTGAACGTGCCTGTCACCCCAACGGATTGGGTCCTGGGCAGTGAACGTGCCCGTCACCCCAACGGATTGGGTCCTTGGCAGTGAACGTGCCCGTCACCCCAACGGATCACTGAAGAATGGACAACACAGTGTTGTGGAACGTGCTTTTGAAAGGGCTAAGGCTTCTCTTAATGAATGAATGCACTTTTATTTTTTTTTATTCATCCGAACATAATGTATTTATGAAATTTCGCTCAATGATAAATTTATTTGTTATATGAAATTTCTCAATACAATACATTGATTTGTCTTATTTTAGCCGTACACAATAGATTTATTTGTTTATATGAAATTTCTCAATACAATACATTGATTTATCTTATTTTGTTTTATTTTATTTTATATATATATATATATATTTTATTTAGGAAGCATGGACAAGACCCTTGAATATCTTCGACGTGACGAGAGGGATGTACTGGATAAATCTGGTCCGAAAATAATTCGGCACAAACCTATCACTGCTTTATTGTCACCCACCGAGTTGGACCCCTACATCCCTTTACATACGGCTTCCGAAGACTTGGTTTATACAGGAATTCGAAACTGCTGTGAGATTCTCGAGAAAGGGCACTCAAAATCAATTGGTTCATTCCCTGTCTCAATCCTTCGTCCATTTTCTGAGGACCTTGACTGCTCTGAATTTAATACTCTTCTCAAGAGAATGAAGCATGAAAAACTGAAGTGGGATAATTCCTTTAATGTCCGTGGCATTTCTACCCATTTGCAATCCCCCATATGGATTTTTTGGTTGAATGACGTTCTTTCCACATTTGCCCCTATTTTGAAGAAATGTGGGATTTATGCTGCAATCTATGTATCCCAATTTGCATATGCTAGGAATGTCTCCTTGCTCAAAGGATTCTTAGAGCGGTGGTCACCCGATACTAACACTTTCCACACCATTTATGGCGAACTTGGGATCTCTTTATGGGACCTTCATCGCATTAGCGGGCTCCTCATTCGTGGTGAGTTTTATGAAGAGTTTACCCCATCCAATGACATTTTATATTCGTCCCAGACATCCAAGGCGTGCCGTGGGCTTTTCAACATTTATGCCAGCTCTGTTCAATCCAAGAAGTTTACTTCAAGCCGTACACCAAGGTATACTTCATTCATCTATATATATATATTGCTTTTACCTTCTGCGTTTTCATTGAGTATCTCCTTCTATTTTTCACAGAAAATACTTCTGACACATTGGAAGAGACAGACGAAATTACTTCTGATACCTCGGTAGAGGCCCAAATTCTTGCAGACTTACTTGAAGGAAATGGGGTTAACAAATTATTTGACAAACTTGAAGCACCCTTTGCTTCATCTGGCCTTCTTTTGGGAACTTCCTCTAACGAAGCAGCCACCCATATTCAGAAAGGTCTTACTATTTCTCTCCAATCAATGACGGATGTTAATGGCATGATTGCTGTAGCAAACAACGTTTTCATGATTTTAAAGAGTTTGGGTGTAGACTTCATCTCCTTTTATGAGAAGGTGAAGATATTCCTTGGGTGCTTTGCTTTGAAAACCCAACTTGCAGACTCTTCAAACTTGTCTACTGCAGAATTTGAGGCCCAATATTGTGAGAAGAAACTTCATTTCGACAAAGTTTTTGGCGAACATGAACAGCTGTCTGCTTCAATTATCAAGTCAGATGAGCAGATTGCGGGTCTTAATCAAAGGATTATTCAAACCCATTCCCTGTCTCAATCCTTCGTCCATTTTCTGAGGACCTTGACTGCTCTGAATTTAATACTCTTCTCAAGAGAATGAAGCATGAAAAACTGAAGTGGGATAATTCCTTTAATGTCCGTGGCATTTCTACCCATTTGCGATCCCCCATATGGATTTTTTGGTTGAATGACGTTCTTTCCACATTTGCCCCTATTTTGAAGAAATGTGGGATTTATGCTGCAATCTATGTATCCCAATTTGCATATGCTAGGAATGTCTCCTTGCTCAAAGGATTCTTAGAGCGGTGGTCACCCGATACTAACACTTTCCACACTCGGACTTCCCTAGCTGCCTCGCATATGCCATTGGCTACCTTTAAGGGTATTCTTATTCATTCATTGTACCTCATTTTATTTCATCATGTATACATACTCAAGGAACTCTTTTCTCTTCAGATCATGCAACATTGCAAAATCCATGGTCCACTTGTAGGAATCACAACTTGTCTCCTCCTCCACCTAAGTCTCCTCAAGTCGTACACAATAGATTTATTTGTTATATGAAATTTCTCAATACAATACATTGATTTGTCTTATTTTGGCCGTACACAGTTTATACTCTTGCGGGCCAGGAGTATCCAATGTTTTATCACCTTAGATTTCGATGAGGTATTTTAGTAGTTTAACCACATACAATACCGTTGGTGGTTTTTTTTTACTTTTGTTTGGCCGTACACAGTTTATACTCTTGCGGGCCAGGAGTATCTAATGTTTTATCACCTTAGATTTCGGTGAGGTATTTTAGCAGTTTAACCACATACAATACCGTTGGTGGGTTTTTATTTTCTTTATTTTTTTTTTTTGCCCTAACTTTTGCCTAGGCTGCCCTTTTGGGTTTTCAACCTAGCAGACTTTTTTTTTTTTTTTTTTTTTTTTTTTTTTTTTTTTTTTTGCCCTAACTTTTGCCTAGGCCGCCCTTTCGGATTTTCAACCTAGCAGGCTTTTTTTTTTCCCTAACTTTTTCCTAGGCTGCCCTTTCGGGTTTTCAACCTAGCAGGCTTTTTTTTTTTTTTTTTTTTTTCTTTGCCCTAACTTTTGCCTAGGCCGCCCTTTCGGATTTTCAACCTAGCAGGTTTTTTTTTTTTGCCCTAACTTTTTCCTAGGCCGCCCTTTCGGATTTTCAACCTAGCAGGCTTTTTTTTTTTTTTTTTGCCCTAACTCTTGCCTAGGCCGCCCTTTCGGGTTTTCAACCTAGCAAGCTTTCTTAAGGATAATATCTCTTCAAGAACTTTGCATTGGTTGGGGGAATGATTCTGTCACCATCCATCGTTATCAACAAATAGGCTCCATTAGAGTAAACCTTCTCAATCACATAAAGTCCTTCCTATTTGGGCTCAAGCTTTCCTTTGGTTCTTCGTGAGACTACTATGGGTGTTCTAACCATTAGTACCAAGTCTCCCTTTTTAAAGGAACGAAGCCTCACTCTTTTATTGAATGCATTTGCCATCCTTTGTTGGTAGATTTCCAAGTTCTGTTGAGCATACAACCTTCTTTCATCCAGGGTCTCCAGCTCAGCCAACCTCACTCTTGCACTTTCATCTTCTGTTAAGGACTCTTGTATTGCCACTCGTAATGATGGTATTTGAACCTCAAGTGGTAACACTGCTTCTCCTCCAAAAACCAACGAATAAGGGGTTGCTTGAGTAGGAGTTCTGTACGAAGTCCGATAAGTCCACAAAGCTTCTTGTAACTTTTCGTGCCAAGCTTTTTTGTTCTTATCCACCATCTTCTTAAGAATTTTGCACAATGTCTTGTTGAAAGCTTCTGCCAAACCATTGGCAGGTGCATGATATCTTGATGAATGGTTGTTTTTGATTTTGTACTTGGCAAATAACTTGTTCAAAGCATCACTCCTGAATGGCTGTCCATTATCCATGATGATACTTTCTGGAATCCCAAACCTGTAAATGATATGGGTTCGGATGAACTCGGAGACAACTGTGCTTTTTATATCCTTTAAAGCCACAGCCTCTGCCCATTTTGAAAAATAGTCAGTTGCAGCTAGGATGTATCGATATCCTGTTGAAGATGGAGGTACAAAAGGACCAATAATGTCCATACCCCATGCTGCAAATGGCCAAGAACAAGTTGTTAAATGTAAAGGCTCTGGGGGTTGGTGGAGAAAGTTCCCATGGAATTGACAGACTTGGCATCTCCGAGCATAATTTATGCAATCTGCAATCATAGTCGGCCAATAATATCCCAACCGTTTTAGCTGCATATGTAATTTAGGACCACTTTGGTGTGCCCCACATACACCTGCATGTATTTCTGCCATTACCTCTTGAATACGCTCCTTGGCTATACACCGCATGAACATTCCATCCAAAGACCTTTTGTATAACGTTCCATCTTTCCACAGGACGAATTTGGTAGCCCTGCGTCTCACTTCAATTCTTTTTACTTTATCTTCAGGTAGCCTACCATGTTAA